AAAAAAAAAAAAAAAAAAAAAAAAAAAAAAAAAAAAAAAAAAAAAAAAAAAAAAAAAAGGAAATCCATTTTTACCGATGAAAAAATTGGTTTAAAACGAAAAGGGGAACAAATTCGTCGTCTCCCGGACCAAGGAACGTAACCCCATTCCAAGGTTGTCAGATTGACGCGAACAATTGATTTGTTTTAGGAAAGTGAACCTGTGCAATTTTCCCCGAAATTTTTCGGATTTTCGCATGTAATCTGAGGAGAAATCGGTGAAATTTTCAGTTAGAAGTGTCGAAGATTCTCCAGGTTATACATTTTGCGAGGGAAAATTTGGCATCATTGAAGTGGAGTTCGACGAATTGAGCCAGAAGAAAAAGGAACATTCTCTCTGTTTTCCCCCTGATACACTCGATTCCAGGAACTCCAAAAAGACCCTCACAAACTCGATGGCTCTTTCGGAATTTATATTTCCAACCTTTTTATGAATATATCCCTTTAAATTTTATTTTTGCTCCGATGCACTTTAGTTACAATTTTAATTTGTCCTCCCTTGGATTCCATTCGAAATTTTCCTCCGTTCTCGGCGTTTTTCGAACCGATCCGAAAGCTTAAACCTGTAACCGTAAACTCTTTTTTGGCACCAGAAAGCGTGAAGTAAAAGGCGATGAAGTGAATAAAAATAGGATAAGACTCGTCTGGCTCGGAACACGACTTTTAACTCGGGCGACGAAAAAAAAAGAAGGACGGAGGAAAGTTACGAAGTCGGCGAGCACGTGTTGCAGGAAGGCGGGAGTGGATCCGACATGAATCGCAGAAGTTCCTGACCCGAAAATGACCTGAATTCCGCCCGAGTTGCCGCGGCCCGGGCCGCCCGCCTCCGATGCGGTGTTTTTGCAGATAAACAGAGCACAATTGCAATCCCTGCTCGGAGCTGATAATTGACCCTTAATTCAATTTGCATGCATGCACCGGCGCCCTAAACCCGGAGAGCGAGCCCAGGGGGAAAATTTCCCGCTGCGCTGCACCTCCCCACGTTTTCACCCTCTTCTCGGCTCCTATTTCGGTGAGATGATAAAAACTCTCAAAAAAAGGATATCATCTCAGGTCAACTAAACTGCAAACTTCCTAAAACAAAAAATTAGGAAAAAATGATAACAAGAGAAAATTGTAAAGTGTTGATCTGTGAAAGCCTGTACCTAAATGACGTAAAATTTCGGAATTTCACAAGTTTTGGCTCGCACTTAATCTACATAATTTTCCTTAACACTTACCTCAAAGGGACTTCATTCTGCAATTGGGAAGTACATTCTTGGCGCATCCTTAGAATCGCTTATCAGCATAGGAAAACAAAACGGCACAAAAGCTGTTTCTAAAATGAGTCTGAAATAATAGTTCATCATTGCGAAATGTGTCATTCATCGACGGACAAGGTGAAGATTTTAAACATCGTTGAAAAATTAATATCATTTGCTATTTAGTTTTAATTTCACCCGTCGTTGTTACTTAGGGGTTGTGCGTGCTCCGCCTCCTTATCAACACCACAGCGAGCGATTACAGCTTAATAAGGCTATGAAGCCGGGCACAATTGCCAAGGACAAAAAGTCAACTAGGGTGCGTGTAATTTAGGGTGCGGTATCGGGTATTGTGTACCTGTCAAAGGGCGCAACAGGCTATGAATCAGGGTGGAATTGGGATCCTCGCAAGTGTTACTTTGCGCCCGAGCAATGAGCATCGCGCGTCGGATGCGTCGTCAGTCCCGGCGGAATTGGCGCGCGTGGCAGCTGGCAAGAAATCAGCTCACTTTTTACGTTCTTTTTAAGCCTCGGCGCGGGGCGAGGGGGTGCGGGGGTGCCGCAGCTGTCGGGGCGAGACTCGCTCCCGGGACTTGAAACTTACCATGCATCTGCTTCTGTCTCAATATTAATACGCCTTTCGGCTTCACCCCTTCCACTCCGGAGGCCCTGCTGCAGCTCTGCGCGCTCTGATCTTGCCCTTGCCCTCAGAGCTTCTTTTGAGCCCGTCGCTCAGCTCTCCAGACCACGGTTGGTCGTCCTCGAACCTTCCCTAACAGTGGAAAATGCCTCGAGAAATATGTAATGCATATTTTGACATTGTTTTCAATTAAGCACTGCTGAATATCCAGGTTTTTTGCAAGTACAGGAAAAAAGTCCCTCGGATCCAGAGTCAAGCTCTTAAAAGTATGACAGTAAAGAATACTCTTGATTCAATTGGATATTTGCTCCAATCGAGTGCCGAGCCACTTGATTTCAGCGGATTTCCTTTCGATTCAAGCGAAATTCCGATTGAATCACATGTATTTTCTTTTGTCAAATTTTTCAACTCATAAATCTGACTGTTATGAAATGAAACCAACGCCCCCCCCCCAAAAAAAAAAAAAAAAAAAGTCTTCCTCGCGAAATAGCCAATTTTTTCACCACCTATATCGTGGAATAGAATAGATATTGAGATTTTTACATCACAAAAAAGTTTAATCTTTTTGTATCGGAGTGATTGATACCAATCGCAGCTCTCAGGGAGTGACTCAATATTTCACTCCTTAATCGATCATTATACCGTAGCGCTAAGTAGCATACATCAGACTTATAGTCGCACGTATGCCATAAACTCAACTGCGCCATTATGACCCAACTTTCCACCAAAGCACGCTTCGAAACGACATTCAATTCTATTCAACCCACGAAGCGATTCGTTTGGCCGCCTCGAGCCACCTAAGCCTCGCTCAAAAAAAAAAAAAACCTCCGGACCTACAGTCCGCGCTTTCGAATCCACCGTTCACGTTCTGAGGTTATTTCAAATATTGACTGAACGAGTTCAACTTTAACGAATAGAGTTGACCCCTCAAAATCGAATCTCAGCCGGTGACCGCNGGGGGGGGGGGTGCATAGGGCAACAAGCATTGCGAACCAATCAGCCGAACTCACGACTTCCCATCACTGTGAAATGTAAATGGTAGCAATAAAGTCAATCACGCTCTCCGCGGGAGGAGGCTGTGTGAAGGGGGACTTCGGTCGATGTCTGACTAAACCGGCAATCTATATAGTCTATACAGTTTATATCTATATAGTCGCAAATCACAATCGCTTAAAAACTCGAAGGCCGTCACAGGATTAAACCCACTTCTCTGTTTTATTAAAATCTCGTAAAATACTATAATATATATACTGGAAAAAAACACATTGGATCTATAGAGTCCAGACTCTTAAAAACATCGACAAGAAAAAGTACTCTCGAGTCAATCAGAATCTAGCTTAAATCAAGAACCAAGCCTCTTAATTTAAGCGGATTTCGTTTAAAAATCCGATTGACTCAAGATTATTTTTTCTTGTCAATGTTTTCAAGAGTCTGGACTCAAGATTCAATGTGTTCTTTTCCAGTGTATATGCATAAATTCGTGGGGATTTGGACGAGGGGAAGACGAAAAAAATGTCTTACGAAGATTCTCGAACGTGCTTTCCTGTGCTTTCCGATTGCGTAAAGTCCCGTCCAAGACAAACGACGATGATCTGATTGTGGCCCCGCTGAAATCAAACCCGACCGAGCCAAGCTCAGGAGCTGCGGAGGGACCGGGGAAGGGACGAGGCTCACGTTCCATTCAATCCGCCGGCTTAAATTCTAATGCGATAAAGTCTCGGGGTCTTAATGAAAAAGTTTGAGCAAACAATTCGATCCCGACAAAGTGAGCGGACGCGCTCGACGACGACTCCTGCTCCCTAGCGGATGTTTGTTATTGGCTAATCCGGGGGAGTAGGCCCGGGGGGAGGGGGAGGGGGGGAGTCGTAATAATTAAGTTTTTCGAATCCGTGGCTCAAGTGAAACGTGGGCAATACATTACCTAAGTGCAGTCTTGTGAGTTGCCGGTTGGTACCGATGCACTTTGATTCTTCCTCCCGGCCTATTCAATGTCCTGCCCCCGCGGACTGTTGTGAGGTTAAGTCGTCGTCTACCTGACCCTGACATAAGGGCGTAACTACACTCCGCAATAAACCCTATCTTACATACATTTCAATGCTTTTCTGGGCTCATCTTAATGTGTAGTTACGCCCTTTGTCAGCCAAGCGACGAAGTGACTCGGAGGATCAATCGCATTTCGCGTCGGGGTAGATTTCCTTTACACTGAGAGTAAAAACGTTACGAATCCATTTCTGATTGGCTCCCTTATTTTAGGCCTCCACAGTGTCACAAACGGGAATAAAGATTACATTCTCATCAATTTGCAAAGATTATAAACTGGAATGGATTGGGAATTGAGGCACGGCAAGGAACAAACGGAATGAGAGAAGGAGCGATAGGAATTCGGGAATAAGTCGATCAAATTAACTGCATTTTGCAATTCGGGACTATAATGTCTGGCTCATTTGCAAATTTACTTTTGTGCACAGGAAACTAACGGTACTTATGTTGTTCTCAAGTTAAGCCAGAAATTGTAGTTTCTGATTGCAAACTGCAGTCCAAATGTCGCCTTTCAATCTTTTTTATTCCATCTCCCCGTCAATGCTTTGCCAGAATTCTGTGATAACTACAGCTCTAAATTCCCTGTCGCTTCTTCATGTCCTCTCGCCGGTTCTCTGATCGGCGGCAACCCCGCCCGAAGGAAGGTCCGGTCGGGGCCGTAACTTCCTCCGCAGCCTTGGTCGCACTGGGCACTGCAGCGATGCGCCGATGCACCGACGCATTGATTAAATACGAGTTAAGAAATCATTTCTGGGAAGGATCGGCCGGGGCCGGGCCACGTGACTGAAATCCAAATCGGGTGTCGTACCGGGCGCGCACGTTGAAAAGAGATACGTGCCGCCCTCCCCTCGACGCGAGTCTTGTCTTATGATTTATAAGACACCAGACATGATTAATTGGTCCGACAGAGAGGAACGCCGCTCGCCCGGCCTGCGGGGATTTTTCCGCCCCCCGCCCCCCTCCGCTGCGCCCCGGAATTGTTCGGGGCTCGGAGCCCGGTGTGTTGGTATTTGTTTAGCCTAATCGAGTGCGCTACTTCAATTGGCTCCTACGCTGATGACTTGTAAATCTGTCCGCGCGCGTGTAATCGCCGCGGATTCGGCCGCCGCACCGTGGATCGAGTCAATAGGAAAAGTTAGACAACGTTTGGAAACTTTTTATAACTCCTTTCACACAAAATTTTGAAGTTCTAAAAGTGGGTCCATTGGTTTCCTCGTAAAATTTTCTTCCGGAAGCACCCCTTGACATTTAAAATGTGACGAAATAAACATCAAAATTTGCAGTTATAGTAAAAAGTTTCACGTCCGACCTCTCTAATTGACTCGATCCACTGCGCGCCGCCAGCTTGCACTCGCGCCTTCTCGCCGCCGGTGGATTCACACTGAAGGTGTCTCAGGCGAAAACCGCCTAACTCCCAGCTGTAATCGTATGACGTGTACGCGGTTTTGTTCAGCGAGAATGACTTCTCGAGATTCATCAAATTGATCACATTTTGCAATGAGAAACAACGTATTTTGAGCTCATCGCTAAAGCAAATTTCGCGAGTTGAAACTAATAGTACTTATGCTGTTTCTATCATGAAATAAAATTTTTGGTTTTTGTCTAATGTATTACCAACTTAAGTCCCAACTGTCTCCTCTCATCCCTCAATTTGTTTCCAATTTTTTTGCCCCGAAGTTACGTGCCTGGATGAAGAATTCCCCAAATGGCTACTCAGTAAAGTGTGAGTGTGCACTGAGTGATAGTATTTAAATGTGCGTGTATGTATCAAAATTACCTCCAGGACGTTAACAGAAAAATTGTATATCCTTTGATTCCCATTGTCACCCCTGCACAAAGATTCCTACACGTGAAGCAATGCATTCAAAGCCTTACATGACGAATGCCCTTTTTATGCAATATATGTTCTTTATCCGCAATGCATTTTGAGTTTTAACCTCCTGTCGTTTCGCATGTACATAAATTATGGCTAGAATAATTTTTAAGGCTATGAATGAATGTTGGCTGGCCGAAGGAAAAAAAAATCTAAGAAATTCGAAACAGCTTGTTGTGGTCCCTGGGCCCCAGTATCGTTCGTACACGGTTGTCCACGCAACAGCGATGAGCCTGCAGTTTTGGGGCGAGTGAAAGGAGAAGAGTCCCAGCCTCGAAAAAGGGGAGGGGGTAGCCCTTGGAATGACTGACTACCGTAAAGAGAAGCTGGAACGACTGATTGTGAGCATCGGCGCTTTTTTCTCAGAATCGCGTTTCGTTCCGATCCGGGCCGTGCCTTTGAATTGCGCTATAGCGGAATCATTTTATAACCGTAGGTGTTATCGTTGGGCCTCGCGCAGCTTCCAGGTGGTCCCCCGGGTGGCGGGGTGAGGGGCGTAAGACGCTGGACGTCTTGGCCATTATCTAGGCCTCGACGCAGCTAAAACGGGCCTTTGTACGACGGAGGACCGTCCAAAATCGATTTGCTTACCTGTTGCTCGATGTTAATCGGAACTGTTTTTTTTGTTTTTTGCAGCTATCTGTTTGCCCGGTTGCGACGACCAGCACGGACATTGCAGCAAGCCCGGAGAATGCCTGTAAGTGCCCATTTTTCTACGCCTTTTACCTTGTTCTCTGCTCTACCTTTTGTCCGGTTCCGGATGCCTTTGTTCCCATTGTGCACCCCTGCTCGGGATTGTTTCCGAGGAGATACCTGTTGAAACGCTTAATTAAGATCTGTCGCGTGACACCTTGATTTTCGGGGTGTTGAAATGTTGTCCGTCGCGAGGCAAAGCTAGGAAGGAATTCCGTGCGCCTTTTGGGATGGACAAAATGTATAGAGGAAGGTAGCGTTTTGTTAACTTCATCAATTAACGTTGTTGAAACGGCGCTCCTATCAGATAATGATTCAATAATTTTAAGAGAATATTTGAGGAAATGCTTCCATGAAAACCCTTCCTACCATCATGAATCTCCAGAATTTTTAAGGTAACGTTCAGCACGACATTTTTTTAACCACGATTGTTAGATGCGCCGTAAAAAAATTCCCTGCACAAATTACAAGGAAACAAGGAGGAAATATGTAATTTTCAAAATCCCGGATAGGGAAACGAGAGAGTGAAGATTTAATCCGATTTGGAGCTTTAAAGAGGTTGCGATTTTGTTTGGATCTAATTAAGCCTTATCGCTCACCAGAATCGGCTGCAGTAGGACCGAAATCGAACCAGCTGTTTATCACCACCTCTTTTAAAGGAATATAAATCGATATATTTTGAATCATCAACTGGAAGTGATCTCCTGGCACGTCACAAAAGAGCGTTTTGGCAACGTGCGTGCCTGAGAGTGAGTCATTCTGCCGAGTATCACTTGTTCATTTAGCGCTGGGTCGGGGCAAAAAAACCGAGTGAGAAAAGTCATCTGCAGCTGGAAACGCGAGCTTTGGGACGGATGCCTCGAGACGCTCCGGGGAGGGGGAGGAGGTTGGTCAGGGTCAGGGAGGTCGCGCGGTTAATTTGTGATATTGCACACGGACGATGGACCAGGGGAGCAAGGGATCGTGCGACGGACCACGTGGGGTCTGGCCTTCACCGGCGAATTCTCCTCGCCGCACTCGGGGTAAAGTACGTTGAGTAATTACCCCGAGACAGGGAAAAATTAAAAATTTCAAGTGTCCTGTCGCTAGAACTAGTGGTTCAAGACCACCTTGAATCCGACCCGATTCCAAGATTGATTCCTTACATTGTATGGAGTGTCCGAAAAAGTACAAAAAATCATCCTCGATCGACGTGTAAATCATCGTCCAATTTGACTAATCGATTCGAGTATTGCCCGTCGGATTCGGTCCCTTTTTAGGACATGCAGGCGGACCGTCACACCTGTCAATTTAAAAATGATTCAACACCACTTGAAATCAGGGTCTCCCGAATCGACTCTAGCGGTGGTGCCCGCAAAAAAACCAAAGCCAGCAATTATTGTCATCGCTTAGTTTATGCGCGGAGACATACGGGTACTGATCGGGAGTGGAGAGATTGCAAGATCCCCCCCTAATCGATAAATCCGATCGTATCGAAGCGACGAACCCGATCTCGGATCGAAATTCGGCAACCTTCCCTTCCGCGCAGCTCCAATAAATCAATTAAACAGTATCGGCTTAGGTAAGAGGAGTAAAAAACTCCGCCACTGCAGTCTGCGGCCGGTCGCAATGACATGTAAACGGCCTGCCACTAAACTGGTTCTTTTTACTGCGGCGGACTTGATTTTTATCGCTTCCCCGCGAACCCCCTGCCGAACCTCGTGCGGAAGCCTTTTGCATCGACTCGGTTGCAGCTCCAGCAGGTAAGGTTCGCGACTTTGGAGGTTGGAGATGACTCACGGAATCTCGCGAGGGGAGGCGGGGGGAGGTAATTACGGTTATCAAATCCGATTCAGCGGGAGTTATTCGATTTATTTTCGCTCCTTAATGAGATCGTCCGGCGAATTGAATCACTCGCATGCAAATCGCCGCCCGCTCCATTCATTGCCGGATCCGAGAAATCCCTCATTTTCTGTATCGATCGTACGAGTTGATATCCTTATTAAGTTTCTACCTCCAGTGGGGGAAAAATCGCCCGGGAAATCTTACTCGGCATCGTGAAAATTCTGATGAGTCTCGAAGCAACAATATTTCCATCTCTGGTAACTAGTACTGAATTTCGGAACTTTTGAGATTTGCCTGAATATTTCCCGGAACTTTTGAAATTCCTGAAATGTTCCGGATCTTTTGCATTTTCCGGAACTTTTGAAATACTCCAAAATGAATTCCGGAATTTTTGACGGTCATGGAGTGGGAAAAATTGGAACAAAAGAAGTTCCGAATTTCGGAACTTAAGACTGACAAAGAATGGAAGCACTCTGCGAGGCGAACCTATGAGTGAGTCTCTGAGCGCAATGTGGGAGGTCGATCGGTGTGAGGATAGGAAAGGACGCCGAAAAGAACTCTGCGCACCTGCTTCGCCGGCGATCGTCTCCGTAGCGAGCGGGTGCGGTTTGATAGTCAAATAGGGGCGGAAGTGCCGGCGAAGGAAGAGTTCCGAACGGAATTCCCAGACGTAAGACAGTGACGGAGCCTTGATTAGGGAAGCCGGAGTGTAGAATGAGTCCGAGCCTAAAAATGCAAGTATCAGAACGAACATCGTTTTGAGACAGTTGGAAGGGAGGGAATGACCATCATTAAAAATACACCCTTCCGCGTGGCTGACCTGCGTTACGAGTGCGACGCACACCGAATATTTGAGCGGGAATTAGGAAGGAAAATGAATAAATTTACATCAGCCGCGCGTATGCACCGATCTTCGGATCCTATAACAATCATCCTTCTCTACACTGAGCTTTGTATATTACTATTTATGAATACCTACTTCTAATTATTACAAAAGCTTGTAGCTTAAAAAAAGGACAAAAATTGTAAATATCCAATGAAAATTAACACTTTTCGTCAGTTCTAAGATAATATTTTTTATCGATTTTTTTAATTTTAGTTGCAAGCTTCATTTGATATATACGTACTGATCGATCAAATGATTAATGATCCCATCATCTATCAATTCATGAAAAGGGTTTATTGACAACTCCTCTTTTTAGAAGGGTTATTGCTCAACTGAACGCACTCAAATCAAAATGAACTGTGTGTATTGGGACATGAGCCCTGTCATACATGTATTCTTATGGGTTTCTGGGCCCGTGTCATAATTCACTTAGTTCCATTGGATTCAATTACATACAATTACAGCCACAAAACTATCAGTGAAATATCAATGGGTTACTTCTCTATTAATGGTGTTGAAATGGGCAAACTTTTAACCGATTCAACTTCGGTAGAAGTCCGTAGAATAACTCACTCGTCGCGGACAAAACCGCGGTCCTTTGCCGAAGGGATGATCCCTCCCGCACGATTTTCGCGCGTAATGCGACGGAAAGATTAAGTGATAAATGACCGCGAAAGCTACCCTCCCCCACCCTCGTCGAAGCTCGCATCCCTGCGGCCGGATCCGTTCCGCGCACGCACCGTTGCGTAATCGGGGCTGGGGTGGCGACTTTTTGATCCTTTCATCCCTCAGTTTTACGTGGGAGGAATTACGCCTGTTTATCGGTAACCCATTGATCCTGGCTCACCCTTCGGTGATCAGGTGTCCGTTTTCTCATGGCAGCTCGCCGACGATTCCATCGGTCCGGTGGATGAGCGAGCCGAAACACTGCGATTCCTCCCTCGACATTTTCTCTTTGCTCCGCGAATCGTGAATTTCTTCAAATTAAGCTACGAGTTTAATGACGGCTGATAAACCGGAATTGCGGTCTCGGACAGATGTTGTTGATTGATGTCTCTACTCTCAGGTGTCTTTTCCCAATCCCTTGTTTCAGGATTACGTCATACATAATGGATTTTAGTGCATTTTAAAATATTTCAAACGAAAAGTTCGAGCGATAAACCCGATTAATCCTCGAGGTTCCACCCCGGTTTTTTTTTCTTACCGGTTAAAATCTTCAACAGGCAAGAGTGGTGGTGGGAGGGGGAGGCGGTACTGCTGACTTTTTCGCACGTTTCAAGGCCCGGCTGAGTCAGCTACCTCGGTGCTATTGCCCGCTGCGCCGCCGCCGCCGCCGCCATCGCGTTGGAATTTTTCGCGAAATGAACTCAAACTTGTCCGCGCGGAATTTGTCAAGCTCGACGGTGGAGCTCTCTGTTTACCTCCTCGCGCCCTCCCCCGCACTTCCATCTCTCTTCTTTTTTTCATTTTATTTTTGTTTTTACTGCTAGCCGCTAGCCGACTATTTACAATGTGCCGAGCACAACTGGGTCCGAAGTACCGTGAGAACGCCTCCCCCCCTCCCCGCCGCGAAGGACTCTAAACGCCGAGCGGAGCTGCCACGCGTGGCGCGGAAAATCCCGACTCCGCGGGCGGGGTACGGCGAGTTGCGCCAAGGGTGGCAACGCGGCGCTGCATGCTGCACTGCAACCTGTAGGTACTGCATGATCTTAAAACTTGTTAACATTAATGGTCCCGGGATTCTCCTCTCCCGCACCTTTCGCAGCTGTTTCCAGGGTCGTCCGATCTCGCGGCCCTCGCGAAATTCCTGGCGGGATCCTCGCACGATCCCGCAGCGTCGCGCCCGCGAGTTTTAATGCAGATGAGTCTCTCCCACTCTCGCACGGCTCGACTCCGTACCCGCGGTAGTTCGGTACTTCGATAGCAGGAAGACTGCATCCTCGCGTCGTGCTCTACGCGCGCGGTGAGTGATGGAAGAATCCGATGTTCGCCGGTGGAATTCGGAAACACGCCACTCTACACGCGAATTCTATAGCCCTGCATAGACGATCAAATTCCGAACCAATTCCGATCAAAGTAGACATGCTGATGACTGGTGGTCACCATCTACCATCAAATTTTGACGGGCCGCACTTTTTTGTTCAAAGTAAGATCAGAACGGAGTGCCACCATTCATCATTTCCTGCCACAGGAAACATTTCTGCCAAGTTTTCATTTTAAAATGAAGCAAATTAATGAGTTTAAGACTGATGACTCCCGACACTTTGATGCTACTTTGATCGGAATTGGTTCGGGAATTTGATCGTCTATGCAGGGCTGAAAGTCCCGAACCTCTGCGGGAAGTTCTGTCCCGGTTTGTCTCGTCAATCACCAACTCCAAGGGACAGCGTGGTCACTAGATTCGACCAATCAGGTGCGTTGTTTTTCGATAGGTCGAACCTTTTTCGAAACCACCTCGCGAGGTGGTACCAAAATCACGCATCAACGTTGCGATTCTTCAGTCACCGAATCGGAAGTTCCGAACTTACGGGCACGAAAGTGGTACAGAACCTCTAAATAAAATTAGCTTTCCTCGGATTTTTTACTGATCGAGGGTTTGTTTCTTGTGTTTCAGGTGTCACAGCGGTTGGAAAGGGCGTCTCTGCGACGAGTGCGAGCGGTACCCGGGCTGCCTGCACGGGAGCTGCCAGAAACCTTGGGACTGCCTGTGCAACGAGGGCTGGGGCGGTCTGTTCTGCAACCAGGACCTCAACTACTGTACGAACCACAAGCCTTGCCGCAACGGAGGCACCTGCTTCAACACCGGCCAAGGCTCATACACCTGCAGCTGCCCGCCCGGCTTCGCCGGCGAAAACTGCGAGCAGGAGCTCAACGACTGCGCCCACCAGCCCTGCCTCAACGGCGGAACTTGCAAAGTAAGTTGGATTTTATTCCCATCCAAATTCTTCATCGCTGATATCATCGGTTCCACCCCTGACGTCATCGCTTACACCGGTGTTTTCATCGGTTTTTAAAGATAGCTTTAAATATCATTGTTCTTAACGAATGATGAAAATGATGGAATCGGTGCACGAAAAACGTACCGTAAATAACGCAGAAGAATTAAACAACGTAAAAGCAAATTAAAGTGAAGTCAATTAAAGGAAATTAAATGAATAAAATAAACCATCAAACTTTTGGAACCAAATTTTAATATTGATAAAATTAATTATTCCTCAAAATATTACGCATTGTGAGCTGAGGAGGGGTTTTTTAGTATTTTCCCCCCGTTTTCTCGGACTTGTCGTAATAAATTTTCATACTCCTCGTGATTAGCCTACCTTCGAAGCCTGTACGCCTACTTTGCGTCTTCCATTTCTTTCCGAAGAAAGTAGCCCATTGTCGCGGCTACTCCACGCGTTATAGCGTCATTCTCAGCTAATTAAACGCTCACTAAATTCGCCGCCGGCGTTGCCAAACGGAGCCGTCCAATATCCGCCATCCGACCAAATTTCAAATTTAATCCGAGTGAATCCGGCAAGAGCGCTTGTGCCCTTATTTTTTCATTATTCTAATTTTTCTCGCACTCGTGTGTAAATTAATTGCGCTCTCTGAAACGCTCGTTATTCCCGCGGTGTTGCCGCTATAGCGAGGAGCTGCCGAATTCTAATGCCATTTAAACCTATGGTAAATAATCGATTGTTAAGGTGTTCGCTGCGAACACCCTGTTTATCAATCCTTTTCCATAGGTTTAAATGGCATAACAATCGATGTATCGCAATTCACGCCACGCCACTGCAGGAGATCATCAGCCACCGTGCGAGTGGAGTTTCTCTCACGAGGCTCGAGCGAGCCGCGGCCTCCCTGCAGCCCAATTCAGGCTGTGTGAATTTATGCAGGAATTCCAGCCGCCCGCCTGAACACCGAGTACTACAATTTTCAGGCCCCAAAGATAAGGACCTGTTATTTCAGGAATTAACGCTAGTTGATTCATTAGTGAATCTCTCTCGAAAAAATAAAAATAAAGAAAACGAAGGCGTGGAGGCGGGGCTTCAGGCTGAGCTGTTGCTCATGACCCCCTTTCCTTTGAATGTCACTTAACATGCATTTTACGATATTTTAAAAGTCATATTTTTGGTTGAACGCGAGCTAATGTTATGGTGTCTCGTTTTGTTGCAGGAACTGGGAAACGGCTACAAATGCGAGTGTCCAAAAAACTGGCTGGGGGCCCACTGTGAGATCTCGACCATGTCGTGCGACGACCGGCCATGTCACCACGGTGGGACTTGCCTCCCGACGGCCCACGGTTACACTTGCCAGTGCGCGCCCGGCTACACGGGCACCGACTGCCAGAACCTCAAGGACCACTGCAACCCGAGCCCTTGCGCCAACGGGGGCACCTGCTCCGTGCTCGCCGGTAACGCGGGCTACACTTGCGCCTGCCCCTCGGGTTTCTCCGGACTCAAATGCGAAGTGAACAACGACGACTGCCACGGGAACCCCTGCCGCAACGGCGGGACCTGCATCGACCAAGTGAACAAATTCCGCTGCCAGTGCAAGCCCGGCTTCGTCGGCGACCTCTGCGAGTCGAAGGTGGACTGCTGCCTCCTGGCGCCCTGCGCCAACGGCGGGACCTGCATCGTCCTCCCCAACGACTTCCAGTGCAAGTGCCGGCCCGGCTTCACCGGCAAGGACTGCTCCGAGGACGTGAACGAGTGCGCCTCCTCGCCGTGCGCCAACGGAGGCACCTGCGTGAACCGAGTCAACGGGTTCCGCTGCGACTGCGCCGACGGTTTCTCGGGCTCCCTCTGCAAGACGGAAGACGTGGCGACCGTGAGCAACATCTCGCGGCACGTCTCGATCCAGGTGGAGGAGTCCGGGCTCACGACGGAGCACATCGTGGTGATCGTGACGCTGTCGATCGCCGTCCCGGCGCTGGTGCTCATGGCGGCCACGGCCGTCTGGTGCATGAAGCACCAACGGAAGCGGGAGCAGCAGCGCGCCGACGACCTGGCGCGCATGCAGAACGAGCAGAACGCCGTCCACAGCCACGTGGCCAAGCGCGGGAACTGCAACGCGCACATGATCAAGAACACGTGGACGCCGGGCCCTGGCCCCTGCCCGTACATCAAGAACATCGAGGTGAGCCCCGGAGACCCGTGCTTCGTCAAGCCGGTCACCCCCGGAGACCCTTGCTTCGTCAAGCCGATCACCCCCGGAGACCCGTGTTTCGGCAAGGCGGTCCTCTCTCCGCCCCCGGATCCGGCGCCCGTCTACACGTTACAGAGGAGTAAGTCCCAGAGCACAGGATGGAAGAGCGAGTATGTATGAGAGTGTATGCGGCAGTATGAGTGAGAACCTAGTGACTGTATTTCCTTTGTGATCTAATTAAGAAACGAAACTAAGTCAGATAATTTAAACTAATTTTTATAATTTTGTAATTTTTTATTTATTTTTTGTACTATGGACTAAAACGAGAATATTTTCATGTTGGTAGTTGATAATTGACTTTGTTGACCTGATATGCATTTGCATGTTACTATGCTCATGTGTTCAAAGCATGTCATTTCTGTTTTGCTCCTAACTCCCCTCTCGACTCAAATGAACTTTTTGCTGACCATCATATCACGAGGAGGTCTCACCATGGTGATACATACTAACCACCCCACATGAAGGGATCCAAATCGATGAAATACAAATTCTCTCATAAATATTTCGCTTCATACCTACCTAACTCTCTGCTTTGACCAAATCCCCCCCCCCTTCCGTTTGTAAATTACAAAATGACAAATTTTGACTTTATCAGAGTTACCGATTAATTGTTAATGTCATTGATAATTTATTCATGTATTTTTGCCCTCTTTACTCCTTCTATTTTCTCCACATAAAGCTATGAAGGAAGCCAATTAGAAAGCTAATATAAAGGAAAATAAAGCTTTGTTACCTTTCCAAATAGCTGAATATTTTCTGATCAGAACGAAGACTATTTCTGAAAGATTTTGACTCTGGAAAGCATCAGAATTTCTTATTTTCACGAAACCCTTCTTTTTGGGGACGATACTAAATTCTTTTCTGTTTCTCATAACTTATTATTCAAGAACAAAAAATTACTCATTTTAAATTTAACTGATATTTATCTATTCTATTATTAAATGATTGCAGCGTTGTCTGACTGAACCAATTAAATTTTTCTTGTTTTAATTTCTCTGGATGGTTCAATAGCAATCTAATAATAATAGTAACATTAAATTATTGTATGTTTTTCTCTCTATTCCAATGCTTGTTTTTGGAATTCTAATCCTAGTATTGTTCCAGTATTTAAACAAAATCTAATTTTTTTGAGTATTCAATTATTATTACGTATTATCTGTAGGAGCATCTTCTATCTGTAGGAGCTCTGGTTATCTTAAAGAGTTTGTGTAAGTACATACTTTGGTAATTCCAGATTGGAATATTCTATCCAAGTTCTCTTATCATTGTGCTAAGTATGCTATTTATGAAGCAAACTACAGTTCTTTTTGTGACTTACTCTTGCTCAAAAGTAATTGAACTCATAATTTATCACTGTCTGTAAAAAAACTTCTTGGAATTTTCACAAGCAAGAAGTAATTATTGCTTATATACTTTGCTAAACATTTTCTAGGTAATTTATTTTTTGTATGTTTTCATCCAAAATCTTTTGGATTATTTTTTTCTTCTAATTTTCCTCTCCAAGAATCCTCCCCCTCCCCTATCAAATACATACATGTATCATACATCATCCGTCACATGAAGCATTATTTTGTTTCTTAACCTCCTCAAGACCCTCAAATTGTTTAACACTACCAATCATCATTAGAATGAGAGGGTATGTCTTCAAAAACTCATTTGTACCCAAACTATTTGTTGAAAACGTCGTACATTGCGAGTGACTGTCAATCGCAAAACCTACTATGATTTGTTTTGTTTGAACAAAAATAATGTTCCTGTTAAGTTATGTATTTACTAAGTCATAGGTACCTATGTAATTATGATTTATTGGTCAGATATGGATTTCAATTGTATCCTGCCTAAAATGGATCACATGTAATCATTGAATTCAAACTCAAAAATTTGATAAGTTTCAAAGCATTCTAAATCCAGCTTTACTGTAATTTGTAACTTGCTTTTCTACGAAAGTAATCCAAGCTACTGACAGTCTGCCATTTTTCATTCTGATTTTCCGACACTTTTCATGGGTAAGTTTTAGTCTCTCTATTTTAAATTTCTCGATGATCCGCCTATGTTTGCCTCCGAGCGATTCTTTCAACTCTTATTACCCACATTGCACAATCTATTAATGAAAAATTAAGATCTGTCAGTTGGTGCTGAAGAACCTCTTTCCATTTAATCTGATTGAATGCAAAGATTCTAAGCTTTTCGTGAAAAAGCAAAAATTTAACATGTTTTGCATAATTTTGCTGAGTTCATATCAGTATTGCTTTATTTATTTCTAGCATTCAGTTATTATTTTATTTTTTACTGAAATAATTCGAAAAACACCCAGTATTACTATTAAGCAATTTCATAGAATTTTACGCTCAAATGCTCAGTTGTTCTGTATCTTCACATCACCTAATACCTAAAAAGATATTTTAAAATTTTTGCCTTAAGTTTTTTACTGTTCAATTTTTTGAAATTCTGAGGTACATCTAATATTGTACTTTAATGTATTTTTTCAAAGTAGCAGAAATCCATCACATCAAAAAGTTGTCAGTAATATTTGCTCTACTAAGTATTTGTATCTATAAGTCATAGTAAAATGAAAGTGTAAGTTTGTGTTAACTGTATTGAAGTCATGACAAAAAATTCTAGATTCAACTCAGACTGACATTCCTCACATGTCTTAACACCCCCCCCCCCCCCATATTCCCATTGAAAAGAGCAAAAAAATAGTGCTTTATTTTGCAGTTGAAGAGCAAACAATCTCCGCCCATGTAAATTCCTGTGAGTAAAAGTACTCTTGTAGTTCAAGATTAAATTGAAACATTTCTGACCTCTTTTAACAAAATTTCAAACCATCCGTAATTTCTTCATTGTCCAACAAATCATTGTGTTTTTTGTACCCCAAAGATGATTATGTGTATCCTCTTCTGTATTATATCTTGTAAATTTTGTAAAATTATTAGTTCAACTAAATTTGCTGAGGATATAAATAATTAATTTTGAGCACATCATTATGTGCCTTTTTGTTGCCCCTCATTTCATCAATTAAATTTCTTCTCCCCGTCATCTTTGCACCTTTTAATCTCAGTAAAACTTGGAATAATTTGCCCTCTGCATAGCACCGTCATTGTTGCCTGATGTATTTTTTTCCTTGTCGAAACTTTTCCTTGAGAACCTAGAAACATTTGTCATCGGTCAAAAATTTCCATGCAGTTGACTTTCATAACGCAGGTATCCTCCTTAATGATTTGTATAAGTTTCCAACATAATCATTGATCAACATTTTCATATTGGTAGCATAAAATTTTGACTGATTTTCATCTATGTAGGGAGTTTTTCGCCATGTTTTATTTTCCTCAATCATTGTCACGTTCTTCTCTTTGACAATATATTTCTAAATATTGTAAGTTCAGCCATGCTCAAAGTTTCTCCGGTTAAAAGATCTTTTGCGAGATCGCACCGTGACACCTGTTGTGCCTTACAATTGGCAATTTCAGTTATTTTTGCTAACTTGAAATCACAGTTCTCTGTTTGCATGTATTAATTTAGCTGTTTTACAATACTTTTTTTCTTCAAAATCTTGGTACACGTCATTTTAGTTTGTTTTTTTACAACTTTCTACTTACTTAGTCGATTTCCTAGCCGTAGATGTGTTCTTACATTACTCGCTTTCGAATTTTATAATTTTATACACGAAATTAGCTTTTTACCATTTTAATCTACTTGTGCTTAGAAATACTGCTGAGTATATTCCACTGTCTAGTTGAAATAAATCTAGAATTTTTTATTTTGTATAATTTTAGGTAAACTGATCTCTTAGTAAATACCTATTTATAATTGTACTTGAATTTCTCTCTCCTAATCAATTTCAGTCATGTACTGATCTTCAAATCCAGGTCTGACCAATATTTCATACAATTGTTTGTTGTAATTTATTGTACTAATGTACTCTTTTTTTTCTCTTTTTTTAAATTTCCTCGGATCTAAGCATTGTTGTAAAAAGTTTATACAAAACTCATAGATATTTTGTGTTATTGTAAAATAACGTGTACATTTTTGTAATTTTCCTGTTTATATTTTTGTATATAATGTTAATAACTGTTCTCTCATTACGAATTAAATAATGCCAATATCTTTGACTATTTTCAAAATCTCTTGTTTTTCTTAAATATCCCATTTCTTAACCTTGATCTTTCCAACAAAAGATATATCATCTACTCATTTATGAATATTATTAAAAGTGACTTTCTTTGCAGTAGGTAATAGTTACAAGCACTGTCTATTTGCAGTCCATTGAAGCAAGAATCCAACAATACAGTCTCTCCAGTGTAAGCCAAAGCAACACTTTTTGCGTGAAAAATAATGAAAGGAGGACTTCTAGCCGATTCTGGACGACTTTGTTTAATTCTTCCATCTCCGCATCAGCCAAGTTGCTCTCTCTTTTTTTAAAAAAATTTAAACTCACAGAACCACATAAAATACTTCAGAAAGTCACTTTTTTGTTCGAAGTTGCAACACTGAACATTTAATATTTGGGTTCATCAAGTCAGAATTTAATGAAGCATTAAATCAAGTTCATTCTCTAAAACAAGCCATTTAAGTAATCAATGTTCACAAGCGACAAAATAACAAATTGCATAGTAAATAGGAAACTCAGCCAAAATTATATTTACTCAGAATTGAAAGATACAAAATAACACGTATAAAAAAAGTAGTAATTTTAGTTTCATTCAATTATAATTTAATGCCTGATTTACAATTTTTTTTGGTGTTTATAATATGGTAACTTGACGAATACCTTGGTTTGGTTGACACTGCTTTGGTCTAAGTGATAACAAAAGAAAGCAATAAATAACAGATTATGATTTTAAATTGTATCCTGGTGTTAGTTTATCTGCACCTCTCAATCAACCTAAAAAACAAAGCAAAAAATAACCAGTCACATCCATACTACTTACAAATTTCAAAAGCACCCAGCTTTCAAATTCTGAAAGGTTTAAATATTTCTCTATAAGAAGCGAAGTTCGAGTTACAGGTTCGGACAGTCAGAAGGAAAGGAAAGAAAAGAGAAAGAAGTTCATGATCAATAAATATTCGATCATTTCTCGAAAAAAGGCAATGGGACCGGTTGTTATCGAAGCCAAAATTTTAAAAACTTTATTAAACACCACCTAATGATAAAGTAATTTATCATGCCTTTTTTCAAGAGGATACTTTAAACTTCATTTTACCATAGTAATTGCTATCTTGATTTATTTTGCGAGGAAAGCTCCGTACTTTTGAAGGATGCCTGTCATTCTTGATATGTTGGGGCGCCTTCAATTTCTTATGATACTGTGCGATACCTCTGGTGTGAAATAGTTTCTTCAGACGCCGTGGCACGCTGCGGCGCGGCGGGCGGGCAGAGAGCGCGAAACGCGCATTAGCGCCTAAAAACCTAACAGGGATACTTCACGCGTTGCGCAATGCGTGAAGTATCCCTGTTAGGTTTGTAGGCGCCAGTGCGTCGCCGCTTCGCTTTGTGTTAGGCTCTAATATTTAATCTCGCGGAGTCAGCGTTTTTCAACTCATGATTTTGAAATGTTTGCATGGACTATTCTCATTATAATTGATGAAAAAAAAAAAATGTTTTAAAGGAAAATATAATGTGTGTTTTGTAAATATTATGGTAGTTCCGTATCAAACTTAATGATTTCCAAAGCACACGAATTTCTACACAATTNATGCGTGAAGTATCCCTGTTAGGTTTGTAGGCGCCAGTGCGTCGCCGCTTCGCTTTGTGTTAGGCTCTAATATTTAATCTCGCGGAGTCAGCGTTTTTCAACTCATGATTTTGAAATGTTTGCACACTCTGTATGGACTATTCTCACTATAATTGATGAAAAAAAAATGTTTTAAAGGAAAATATAATGTGTGTTTTGTAAATATTATGGTAGTTCCGTATCAAACTTAATGATTTCCAAAGCACACGAATTTCTACACAATTTCTTTTAGCCTTTTGTAGCCAATGGCGATAAAGTGTAAAGCCCGGCGATAGGAACTATAGCCCGATTGTATACTTTTTTACAGCTTCGTATAGCCCGGCTGTACGATTTGCTCCGCTTTCTACAGTCAGCTACACGATTTTCAATATCCTTCTTTAGTCGGCTTATTTTGAAACGCAGCTCCTATCGCCAATTTTTACCAGGGAATTTATGAATCTGTTAGGCAATGTTTCCAAGTAATAGAGACATGAATCTGCTCGAAAAATCTTCATCCCTCCTCGTGCCATCACTAGCACCCATTCATTCAACGGGAAGAATCATCCTTTTGAACAGCCATTTCTCCGCTGGTTCTGCACCCTCGTCCAGTACAAGGATAAAATATCTTAGCTGCCGTCTAAACATCGAATTCTGGTAGGTCTCAAAAATTCAAATGCGGTGATCATCGAAGAGTAAAGATGTACCTAGAAATCCAAGAATTCTGAATGAAAAATTTTACTTCGAAATTTCATGGAATATACCAAAGATTATCACTGTTTCCTCTTGATTTTTAAGCATATATTGAGGTCCGTGCGGCGACGATTCTTGAAAGTCAACAACATTGTTTTTCCCTCATACAAATGTATGTAAAACAATCGATTCTTCCTAGGCAGCTTGCCTCGCCTAATATCGATATTTTTAATGGATTTAAATGAGGGGAAAACAGTATTTCCAACTTTCAAAAATCGCCACTACGGAAGCGGAACGGAGATTTAGAGAATTCGCCAGGAAATGTAAAAACTTAAAAATCAGCATTATCTTCAAGGCAATTTCTCGCAGATTATTTTTCAATTCCTTTATCCTAATTTTGTATGAAAATTTTAAAATAGAGACAGCCAGCAAAGAGAAACTAAATGAAAATGGACTCACCTTGCCTTGGCAGCAAAATTGTCATCAAGCACACTCATACTCATCGTGAAAAAGGGAGATGGAAAGCAGAAGTAGATATACAGAAATGATACATGCCGTGACACCATTCAGGAACCTTGGATTCATTTTAGACAAGGGCCTGAATATGTCCCGGCGTGTTCAGTTCAGACTGTGTATGAAAAAATTAGGAAAGTTGCAAACAAGCCGGGAACACACACTGGGAATCGTCCTTCGCAGTGCTAAGAGCTCAACATTTCATTGATGAAAGCTCATCTTCAGAGCTGCAATCCATCCTGAACCATGGGGTCACCATGTGGTACTCTGAAACAGATTGAAGATCAGAAAATGCAATAAAAATGCAATGTATTAAATTTGTATAATGTGATGTTGCTATTCTCCCAGGCAAGTAACCATCATCGCGGCATGATGGATTGTTTTTCTAGTCTACCTTGCGAAACTCCAATCTAAAAATACAACCTATCCGTTTAACATATTGAATTTTCTCTTCCAATCACAAAAATACGACCAGTTTTATGAATTACGTGGGAGAAAGAGGAGGGTTACAACATAGTGGAGATAAATCATGGCGTTTTTTCATGAACTCTCGAAACAAAGAGATTCGCCTTCCATCTTGAGGATAGGCAAGAGCGGGCTCATTGTCGTCAAAATAGCGGTATGAAAAAAAAGTTGTCTTGATGCACTGGTTCCTTAGTACTCATTTTGTGTACTTTGAATGGTGATTGCGCACTAATTTACGAGACGGTAAAATAGCGTCATGTCTACACTATTTTGCGGGGAAAATAAGGCCTCAAAGTCCAAAATTTTTGACTCTTAATTCAGGCACTGGATGCGAAAAAGGCACTTCTCGGTTGCAGTGTTTCAGAGTCTCCTCTGATATTCCATTCATTAGGTATATAAGGAAAGACAAATGCATCCATTTCACTAAAAAATTTACAGAATATTCCTTATGATTCTACTATTTCCCATGGAAAGAATTCTGGAAAAATCGCCCATTAAATTATTTTCCAAGGGAATAATTAGCGATTGAGATTCTGAAACACCGCAATCGAGAAGTGTCCTTTTCGCATCCAGTGGCTCAATTGAAATCTGTGAAGTTTTGGCCTTGTTTTCCCCGAAAAATAATTTGGACCCAGCACTATTTTACCACCATACTACATCCAGTTCGGGCCTCTTTTCTCAGTGTTTTTTCTTGTTAATTCACAAGGCTGCACTGCTTGTTTCTACCCTGAAGTTTGATTGACCACAACTACCAGCAGTTTCTCGCAGGAAAATATTCTCCAGTGGAGACCCTGGAGTTGGCACTTAAAATCATGGAGGTCCAGAGACACATTACGTTGGTTACGTCATGAAGTTAGTAAGGCTCGATGGGTAGCAGGGAGGGAAGACGAACGTCGAAATATGCAGTTTGTGTGGATGCACTCGGAATTCCGGGAGGTTTCCATGATGAAGATAAGAGAAGAGGGATTAGTGGAAAGGCATTCTTTCATCTTGCCAGCGGACGTGTGGTTCTCCATACATCATGATCAATCATCTCTCCACTGATCAGTTCGACAATGTTCTACACCCGGTGACTGATCTGCATGGTCGGTGTCATTTCGCCGCTCCTCTGGCGCAAGCGCGTATCTTAATTTCCGCACGAGTCTTGTTTTTCGTGTAAATTCATGCTTTCTGGGGCTCATCTGGAAATTGAGATACGTCCTTACGTCACGTGATCCACGATTTCTGAGCCTTTAGCCTCTTCTGTCTTACCCCTTCCTGGGCGCGGAAGCTGCTATCAACTGGGTTATTCAGAACCGCCGCGCCGCACTCTGCCTCTGCCTACTCTGCCTAAACCTCAAACCCAACGATGATCCATAACATTAATTTGAAGTACATGAACATTTTTACGTGGTCTCAATGGAAAATGAGGAAATGCTTAAAACGATGGACTCTTTTAAAAAAGGATACGCGATGGGAGTAACTCCCATCGCGTATCCTTTTTTAAAAGAGACCACACTGGAAAAAAACACATTGGATCTAGAGTCCAGACTCTTGAAAACATCGACAAGAAAAAATACTCTTCATTCAATCGGATATTTGCTTGAATCAAAACGATATCCGCTTAAATTAAGAGGCTTGGTTCTTGATTTAAGCTAGATTCTGATAGAATCACGAGTACTTTTTTTTGTCGATGTTATTAAGAGTCTGGACTCTAGATCTAATGTGTTTTTTTCCCCAGTGCATCGTTCTAAGCATTTCCT